CCTCTTCTCTCTCATTCGTGCTACATGCCCTGCCCACCTCATCCTCCTTGACTTGATCATTCTACTTATACTTGGCGAAGAGTACAAGTTATGATGCACACACACACACACACACACAGAGTTAAAATAGCGCAAACTCAATGACTTATTACATGTTTTCTAATTAAGGGTTAAGGTAAACCCCTGTAACAGGCCGTGGAGCCCCTTAGGGATGTGAGAAGGCGAGGCTCGCACATCTCCCAGACAACTGACTCGCAGATGGCGGCGAAGTCAGCCTTACGCACCGGCCGCCCTTTACCCCCAGGAAGATTCCTGGCACTCATTTCTGTTAGGGGCCGAGTCAACAGCAGAGCCATAGTGCGGCTGGAAGAAATAGGTCAAATGAGAAATTCAATGACCTCATCTGAATCGAACCCGTGACCTACAGGCTTGTAGCATAATACCTCAAACAACTATGCCACCGCGTGTCCCGTTGGACTCGAGCTAGCTCCGAACGGAGTAGGTTCTAAAGGTTTAATGCTATGGGAAAAAGATTTTGAAAAATGTGGCTCAAAGAAGAATTTGAAGCTCTATGCATATTTCTGATAACTGGATATTGTTATATGAGAAGTGAAACATTCTCTGAATGTATGGCAGAACGCGATAAAGTCAGCCCTTGCTTCTGTGGCTACAGCTGACCTATATTTTCTGAAAAGGAGCTAGATGCAACTAAGAAGCTATGGAAATGGGAGGCAAGCTATCAGAGCCTACCAAATTGCCGGTATGGATTAAGGTAGGATTTAGTCCGGAGCGGGTCCCGGAAGACCGGGGAAACCCCTCCTCTACCGAGCAAGGGGCAACTAAACCACAGTAGAGAAGGTAAGGGGGCGGTTAGGAGACTCTCTCTCTTATTACTTCACTTCAGTGCTTGAGTGATTTAAGTATCATGCGTTATATCTTCGAATTTACAGCTACTGCAATTCTGTGCTTGTGCATATCTCTTCCTCAGAGTTCAAGATGGGTAAGATTGGGAAAGGTATCTGTGATCATGGAGTTGCATCCTGAACGTAACCATGCGAGATGCGAAGTTCTCACAGCAGTAAAAAGGTAAAGTTTTCCTTGTGCTTTGCGAATTCAGCACTAGGCCATGAAGGCGTATGGGGGAGTGGATGTATAGATCTAAATTTTCTTGACCTCGGCACTAGCTGGAGGTGAGTGGTCAGCTTCACGCCCCCGGTCGCTTAATCTCTGGGGAATGAGCCTCCAGTACCCATTCTAAAGGGGACTGGATGATATGGAAAAGTGAAAATTCTTGCCCCAACCGGGACTCGAACTCCAACCCCTTGGTCATCCAGTCCGCAGGTTCTCACAGCAGCCACCATGAAAATTTCTGTTTATTTGTGATGTGTTACCGAGTAGTTTGCTAGAATGTTACCGACGTTTCGAGGAATCTGCTGCCTTGATCTTCAGGGTAGAAGAGAGGAGGCAGAAAGTTCCTCTGAAATTCTGGTAACAAATCACCTCACTACAGAGCATCACGTGCCTGAAGAGGCGCATGAATATGAGGTTTCAAGATACCGCGACAGTGACTATGAAGTTTCTTGTGTTTGGGGATCCGATAAACTGTAAGTATTTCATTTATACCTTGAAGGTAAAGGCAGTACAATCCTCCGAATGTCAGTAAACATTACCAGACTACACTGCATCACATTCTATCTGAAGGCAGCAGGTTACTCAGAAACGTCGGTAAACATCCCCCCTACTACATGACGTCATATGCTAGAATCCAGGTTTTTAGTAACCTGAGTGGAATGAGCGGAAAACTTGGAGCAGCAAAGAGAGAACAGGGCCCCACCGACCAAACGTAATGATTAGCTGGCCGTGTAGAAACTTACGGGTTGTTCTGACGGATAGCTATCCAGAAACATGGAATAAATAAGAAAGGAACGGGGTAAGAACAAAGAGGAATGGGAAAGCGAAATTACAATCAAATGTATAAAGAGAAGCAGACCAAGAGCAAGTGGAAGTACGGGATAAACATTAAAATAGATGTGATACACTGTTATAAGGTGATGTTTAGTGTTTCGGAGGAATGTGCTGCCTCTGTGTTCAGGGTAGGAAAGTGGAGGTCATCCTGATGGCCTCGAAGCCTATGTGAACCGGAAACTCTAAATAACGGGGAACCGTGCATTCGTCTCTGCGCCTCAGTAAGAAAAGTAACACTTCTTTACGGTTCGAAGATTTTCAGATCTTTGGACGTTGCGAGAAGCAACATCAACAGAGGAAAATCACAGGAGAGTTGTGAATATAACAGTTACTGTCTTTTTTGGATGTGACGTAATACAGTCCGGTGTTTCTTTTTTCGTAGTAACCTGCAACCTCCAATTTCATTGCAGAAAGATTTTGAGGTTTTCACAGCGGTGGTTATGAAGAGTTCATTCTGTTGAGATATAATGCCGTGTAGACTATTGAAACTAAACAGTTGTTTCGGAGGATCATGTCGCATTATGGCTTATTCTTCGATGCTGAAGATGGAGGCGACAAGTTCCCCGAAACGTCGGTCTACTTTCAATGGACTACAAGGAGTTATATTCTAGAGGATAGAACGCTTCACTGCAGGAAAGTCTCCCATTTATGTGAAGTTTGTTCCTCCGAAAGGTCCGTAACCAACTACATAGCGTCAACAGAACCTGAATGTTCATTACCGTGTTCACAAGAGCCCTCCACTGGTCCCTATCCTGAGCCGGATCAATCCAGTCTATACCACCCCATCCCATCTCTCTAAGATCCATCTTAATATTATCCTCCCACATACGTCTTCATCTTCCTACTAGTCTCTTTCCTTCTGGTTCTCCCGCCAATATCCTATATGCATTCTTCTTCCCATTCGTGCTACATGCCCTGCCCGTCTCGCCCTTATTGACTTGATCATTCTAATTATACTTATCGAAATGTAGAAGTTGTGCAGTTTATTCCAATTTCCCGTCATTTCATCTGTGTTCAGTACAAATATTCTCAGCACCCTCAGTCCATACTAAGAAACAGAAATGCAGAAGAAACAATAAAATGATGACAAGGGAGAACTGAGCACTGAGAGACTGATGAACAGAATTGAAACTAGATTCTAAAGGATTCTGACGATGGTGGGTAACACAGAATTACTGGGGTTTTGGACTTTTTCCATCGTCCGGAGTTTTAGGTAACAGAGGATACGACGTTTCGGAAACTGGATCTGTTTCCGTCTTCACTGATTGAGATTAGCTCTTTCTAAAGAGTCCAACTGAGTAGGTGTCTTCCTTTCTCACCTGAAGACGGAAACAGATCCAGTTTCCGAAATGTCGTGTCCCCTATTACCTAAAATTCCGGACGATGGAAGAAGTCCAAAACCCCCGTAATTCCGTGAGAATTTAAAATGTTATATTACTCCCGAGAATTGACTTCGTAGCTCACAGGAAAGTAGCGTGAATGTGATGAATGGATCTGGGCCCTTAGGAACGCGATCGAAATGAACAACTGCGCAACAAACTCTCTGTAACTCTGTAACTCTTTAACTCTCGTGTAACTTATGCTATATTAATTAATGTAGCACGTTCTCTTCAGTGACGTCAGCTAACTCCAGGTCCTCAATTACATTTCATGCTAATTTCGTTACAGTAAAAACAGTTGAAATTGAAAGCATATCCCTGATAATTCTGTAATCAGATCGAAGTAATGAGAAAATGTTATAATCCAAATCAAGGGCATTCCAGTATCTAATTAAATAGCTGAAGACAAATATATTTCGAATCTAAATTAATCTTTGGAATAAACTAACAATACATTCCTTTTTCTGTCTTTACAAATTAGGCAACTCACTACCTAAAGGCAAAGTTAAAAAATTAAGCTGTACTTATGATTACTTAAGTACCACGCTGAAGATATGAGCTTTGTGCAAAGCGGATGAGTTCTTGTTGCGATGAAATAACGCCATCATTCTGTACTTCTGAATTATCGCAACATTTTTATAAACGTAAGCGTTAGAAAAAGATATTTGCATAAAAAGCATAGCAAAGGGTACAAAGATGAAGGCTATCCCTGTAACAGACCGTGGAGGCCCATAGGGTTGTAAGACGTCGAGGTTCCCACATCTTCTACACAATCGGCTCAAAGATGGCGGCAAGGTTGTCAGCTCTAAGCGCCGGCCGCCCTTTACCCCTAAGAATATTCCTGGTACTCATTTCTGTTAGAGGCTGAATCGACCCCAGGGCTATAGTGTGGCTGGAAGGATTAGGTTAATTGAAAAAAAAATCCACCCCATCGGGACTCGAACCCGCGCCCTTCCGTCTAGTAGCAAAGTGCCGGAACCAACTACGCTACCGCGTGCCCCTAGTAAAGACTTAGGGACTCAGAATTTCAAATACTGAAACAATATCACATGAGATAATGTAACTCAAAAGATAAGAACCAGTGGAGGATTTGAAGTTCCCATAGCGGTGGTTTCGAAGGGTTATGTACGCCGTGTAGTACGGTAGAAGTTTGCTCATGTTTAGGAAGAATCTATGGCTTTCCTTTTTTAAGGTCGAATAGTAAGCCAAGCAGGAGACCAGCATGAAGCAGACAGCAAGATCCCTGCTTGTCGGTCTCTTCTTGGCTTATACTCTTCGACCGTGAAGACTGAGGCTACATTCTTCTCCGAAACATCAGTTGACTTTCACGAGACTATACAAATTTGTATCCCAGAAGACAAAACTTTTTCAAGACAATGTTAGTCTTTGCTTGGTTTAAAAGTGAAATTACCTTTCACACACACACATACATATATATACACACACACACACACACACACACACATATATATATATATATATATATGATGAGCTTTCAGTTTCAGTTATGAATTTATAGCCAAGCTGCTACTAGCAGGAATGTGTGGCTCTGCTGTAGCAATGGTAGAATGGAAGCAAGGAGCATCGGAAATATCTCTAGATAAGTCTTTGTCTTTCCAAAGCACTGTCATTCCTCATTTTTGATTATGTATTTACCTTCTGTACGTCTTCTTAACCCTGTGGAGAGTGTACTGAAGTCGTTTCTTCCGCCTGTCCGTCTGTACGCATGAAAGAGTTCGAGAGCTGCAGCTATGATTTTCGTCAAACGGATACTGCAATAGAAACAATTGCAAAGCATTTCAATTCTGGTTGAAACTGGGGAAAAATGACTGTCGATTTACATGAATATTTTATCGCGTTTCTTCACAATAATTTTGCGTCCGAACAAATAATGCTCACAAGAAATATTTATGAGAAAAATTAAACACATTTTATGCTCAATATATTTTCTTCTGTTTCAGAGATAATTAGAAGAAAAACACGTCACGCTATACAAATATTCAAGTTGCGTATTTAACACACAAAATTAGTCTTACAAACACAGGAATACAAAATGATTACTGAACAAATAAAAATTGTTTTCCGAACTCAGGCAACGGGAAGATTGCTGCAAAATAACGATGGTTTTCCAAACATTGGCATACGAAAAAATTACCAAGCAAACAACAAAGATTTTCCGAGTACAGGAATATGGAAATGCTACTGAACAGATAGCAGCCATCTGCTCACGTTGGTCCTTAGCTCGCGAACTTTATTACCCTGAAGATGGAGGCTATACGTTCCTCCGAAACGTCGGTCCACACAAGATCTACACGGCGCTACATCTCAGAAGGTGACGTTCTTCATAGTCACCACCGTGAGAACTTCAAACCTTACAAACAAAATAAGTTTTCCGAACGTAGTCGCAAGAACAAACAATATTTTTCCGAACACACCCGAGGATAATCCAGATCCCTCATTCTCAGTAATATTTGTAGGAATCTTCCTCCCACACGAATGATACATCTACATGTATATAGATATAGTTTAATGAAACTATTTTTAGACAAGAGACAGATACACTCTGAGCTTATCTCCGTACTTGTTCGTACAATATCTGGGCCCATAACAATAAATACTTTATCATGTTGCTTACAATTTATCCTGCTTAATACATTTACTGCGCCTAAGAGTAGGCTATCCAGCACCACAAACGGGACGAAACTCATTGTCTCGCAGTGCCCAGAGTTCTGGACAAGGACTGTGTAAAGTGATGCATATGCCGCTAGTGCTCGGATGCATTGCGGCCCAAATCCTACGTGGTTCTCCACCCTTCGTCCTACACCTGTGTCCCTTAAAGGCGGCGTCTCCATTCATGGACTGTGCTAATCTCATATGGTACCAGATTCCAGCACCCTGGTACACTGGCATTCGGCAGGGTCACTTCCCGTGAATGAGATTCCAAGTCGCTGTTGACTGCAATCTGAAATTCTACATTAACGCAGGAACAACTCCATCTGCTAGGATGCGAAAAGATTGTTTTATTTTTCTCTTTTAACTAGGCACGCGGTAGCCTAGTTGGTTGAGGCAATGTGCTACAAGCCCGAAGGTCGCGGGTTCGAGTCCCGATGACGTCATTGGATTTTTTTCAATTTACCAAATCCTTCCAGCCCCACTATGGTCCAGTGAGTACCGGGAATTTTCCTGCGGGGTACAGGGCGGTGAGCGGATAAGGCTGACAGTTTTACTGCCATCTGTGAGCCGATTTTCTAGAAGATGTGCAAGCCTCGACATCTCACAATCCTAAGGGCCTTCACGGCCTATTACAGGGACTTTACAAAACAAATTACATTTTCAACTAAATAATTGTTTTAATTTACAATTAATTAATAAATGAATAAACTTATTCAACATGTTATACCTCGTTTTTATTTAATAATTAGTAACATACATGCGAAAATATATGGCATGACGCTTTCACTGAACAAGTTACTTGAAATTACCAAATCACCGGAAACAAGTCCCATTAATTTAGCAGTTTCCGAAGCGATTTGGAATGGATTCATTAATTCACAGTATTATAATTGCTAACAGAGAATAATGCAGGCAAAATAGACAAGCCCGCAGATCATGCAGATTGAATGACTGCGCAGTATTTGTTTAATTCAGTGCTCCAATCCATTTCGTAATGAGCTGTTGGCAGCTATTCATAGGGTTTTGATGGCAGGGGCAGAAGATATGTACATGTAGTCCTGAAACTAATCAATTTCAGAAGAATCGAGAAAGGTGTAGACTCTAATAACTTCAATATTGAATATCAATATCAAATATTAGACTAGTCCTATCAATATTTCCCAAGCGTAAACTCACGAGATGTGCCATAAGCCAGAGTGTGTATAACAATTTGCGTTTCGACATTGTTGTAAGTGAGGGGGGGGGAGATTAACGCTTTGGGGCTGTCAGCATAATCCTTGACCAAAGAGTTTTCAAAATGAATTTGGTAATCAGTGGAGTAACTAGAAGAGACGTCACAGAGATACAGAGAGAATGCGCTGGTTTGTTTCAATGTACCGGGCGCATGACGTGGGGCCAGGGGAGGAGCTGCGTTCTATCAAATACTCACGGGAAATAAAAAAAAATTGTGACGCCTACTCCACACGGCGAAATACTCAATCAAATATTTATTTTAGTTGCGTATACTGAGTGCTGGATTATTCTCTTTGGCTTGTGTTCCTTTCCGTTGTTCAGATCTGAATGTGTTCGTGTAGGGACCTAATGCTCTCACTTTGAACCCTCCTTTCAAGGCAGCGTTTAAAATTGTCTGGACGTTTCTACAACCTACAGCAAAAAGCAACAAGAAAAGTTAATTATAACCTCATTATGATTCCGACATAAAAACGAGTTTTAAAAAATTCGGTCCATATAATAAGCTCCGTGTCAAAAACCTGATTATCACCTAATTACGAAACCCCCCAATACTGAGGAATCCGTAATTGTATCATGCCCAAAATGTTTCTCTACTGACATCTGTCTGAACCTGCTGAATGTAACCATATGGTAGCACAATATCTCTCAAGGCACATTACAATACTGTCATCTCATCTATGCTTAGTTTTGCCCAATGGTCTCTTTCCTTCAGTTCATAAACTATGCACTTTGTAAGCATTTCTCATATCACCCTGCAACATTCGTTATACATTTTATCAAGTTTATTTTTGCTTATTATTATTGTTCTTTCTTTCATATTAAGCCCTCTGTCCTATTCATATCATAATTAATCTGGAACGATGGATATTAAATTGGTAGGACTCCCTGAGTGGGCGATCAGCAATATCGTAAGGCCGCTGACTGTACAGGACAACACAAACACAGAAGAAATGCAGACAGACATTCATACTTCAAGTGGTATTCGAACCCACGATCCCAGTATCTGTGTAGGCGAAGATAATTTACGCCTTAGAACGCGCGGCCACTGTGATCGGCATTCAGTTAATTTAACCGTCCTAGTAATATCTGGTGAGAAATGCAGCTTGTGAAGTCGCTCTTTCTATACATTCGCCATCTCCTTATTACGTCCGTTCTCTTGGAGCCAAATATAGTCCTTAGTGTCTTCTTCTCAAATAACTTATATAAGTATACGTACTTTAGCGTGGAAGCCAGAGTTTACACCCTAAAAACAACGTGTAATACTGAGGTCAGTAAGAAACTTCCAGAGTTTCACTCTGATCTGCCGCAAACCGCATGTGGCTAGCTCAATTTGCTTGCGCGCCACGATTTTTCAAAACCCTGACGGGACTTTGTGGACACACTGTACATTTCCACGTCATGAGGACTCTTGATTTGTCAGACTGTGCATAGATTCCTACGAGGTTGATACCAAAATTTGGGGGAATACGGTATTTTCATCTTCACAATAAACCCTAAGGATGGAGTCAGCATGTTCCTCTGAAACTTTGGTGTCGACGTGGAGTCACGACTGTCTGAAAACTGGGCACATTTTCAGGGTCATTAAGTTAAATGTAAGAGTGCGAGAGAGACAGAGCAGTGTCTCAGAGTTCAGAATTGTGTTCAGCGGTGGAAAGAGCAGAGGTAGGAAAAGCACCGAAAGTAAAGATTAAATAATTATTTAATCTTTACTTTCGGTGCTTTTCCTACCTCTGCTCTTTCCACCGCTGAACACAATTCTGAACTCTGAGACACTGCTCTGTCTCTCTCGCACTCTTACATTTAACTTAATGACCCTGAAAATGTGCCCAGTTTTCAGACAGTCGTGACTCCACGTCGACACCAAAGTTTCAGAGGAACATGCTGACTCCATCCTTAGGGTTTATTGTGAAGATGAAAATACCGTATTCCCCCAAATTTTGGTATCAACCTCGTAGGAANTTTATCCACAATCATCCTCATCATCATCCGGGGCTCTTACAAGAGGCCACAGAGTGGCCGCAGTTCCAAGTGCACTCAGTCTCGCCCCGTGGAGAAACCTAAAAAGATAATAATAATATAATCCTTATGCTTATGGTGTTTATGCATGCAAATACATTAATTTATGTTCGAATTGGTTACGGGCAATAATCTACATATAACAGATTTACGTTTGACAGCAGATACTACAGAACTACATTTCTCTCAGAGTATGGCTTGAAGTTAGACCTCATCTGACTCTGCACATCCTAGCGAAAGAAAAACGTGAGCTGATAAAAGAAACAGTGACACTTTTTATTGATCAGTTTATCAGTAATTCAGTTTCAAATGTAATCGAATTTCTCTGTTCACCGTCTGCCTCCTTTTCAAATCCCATCCGACCAACCTCAGCTCCCCTAATGTCACGTGCCTGGACCGCTTTTCATCCCCCTGAATAACAATGCGTCCCTCCCTACATGGGCTACTGTATCACCCCAACTCACCCCCATTCTCCGTGTCTCTAATGGGATATTTATGTGATTAGCCTTCATCATATGCTTGTATCCCTCCGTCACGCCGAATTTCCCTTACAAGCGATTTATCGTATTTGGACAAGAAACTGCTATAGATAATCGCGTCTCGTCTCATTCGCGTTTTACTGAAGAGTGCAGACAATCTGAAACGTCAAGAAGTCGGGGAATGCAATCATTGTAACCGTAGGTTCTTGCTTCGGAAACTGCACATTTCTACCCCACAGAATTAATAGATTTAAGTCCATATACATATATAATGTGGAATTAGGTAGAGGTAAAGTTGTTCCTGGCCGGTCACCGTAGCCGAGCGGTCTAAGGCATGTACTGTCTTCGCTCGCTTGGAAACCGGGATCGTG